AGAATTGTCTGTGCTGCACTAAGAATGGTGCACTAACACAAAGAAGTAAGAGGTCTGAAGTCCAACATTCTAGCCCCGCCTCTGCCACTTATTTTTGCTACCAAATGATGTGGAATGGTCACATAATCACTCTGAATCTTTCTTTCCTTCTCTGTAAGAAGATGGACTATACTTGTCACGTCTAATTTAGCGTGAGAACAGTTGAGCTAATAAATGAAAGAAACAAAATCAGCCCCGGTTTTTGTTTCTAATTGAAGAAACCAAGATATCAATTACTGTAAAAATAGTAATGAAGTCAGAAGTCTCTAATCCCTAGAGCTATGTGATATGTGTTCTACTAAAGGTGCACTATTCAAAAGAAAAAGAAGTTTGAATATTTGACAGTTCCCGCAGGATCAAATACACGTTTATTTTGTGAACCATAAGTCAAAATTGAATCAAATGTGTTTATTTAAAAGAAGACATATAGCAATCTTTTCTTAAATCTTCAATTTAAAAGCAATTTCATTTTTTATTCTACTCATTTTTTTCTAAGTAAATTTATATTGTATTGTGAAGTAAATGAAATAGGATTTCTTTTGCTGTATGGAAGTGGAAATTATTTCTAAAATAATTACTTGTCTTTGGATAATTCCTAAGAGAAGTTTTATTTTGAATAATACTTTTATTACTCATTGGTGACGTTTTAATTTTGTTTACCATCTTTTGTATTTCTTTTCAATATTGGCCTCCTAAGAGATCTGTTTTGAAGTATTTGTGTTCCTCTTTGTGTTTTTTCTAACGTGCATTCCAAGCTTTATTGTTTTCTCTGAAATTTTCTTCAGGTCCACCTGAGCAATTAAGTGATCATATTGTTTTTACTTTATAAAAATACATTAAGATTTGTATCTTAATGCTATTTAGATTTCCATATGTCTACAAAATAAATTTGTAGTTCCAGACTGTTTCCTGGCTTTTCTGTGGAATCACGTCATTTAAGGCCTGATTTTTTAAAAGATATTCCAGATTTTACTGTTACTTTCTCATTTATCCCTCACATCTCAGAGCTGGTCATCTTCAGCAAAATAATCCAAAATAATGAACAATCTTGTCCGTTTTACTTTACAACAGAACTCACTGAAAAACTAAAAGAAAATGTACTACAAGGACAATGAGAAGAATATGACCCATTTCTTTTATCATGTAAATTGAAAGCAGCTGGAAGTTAGTTATGTAATAACTCCCAGGTACAAACACATGAACGAATTGAGTCACAGACAAATGTCACACTTTACAGAGTCCACAGTAAAGTTTTCTCTTAAATGTCATTTAGCTGGATCAAATCCAAACACGATGCTGTGTGCTTACTGCAGATAGGACCCACTCACTTTGGTGTGAGACAGCAATCTCACTCTTAGAATTTCAACAGTGAATGTAGCAAACAGAAGAGCCAATAGAATTTTGCAGAATGTGCCTTATAAAGCAACTCAATGAAAATAGTGTCCTGAAAGCCTGACCTCACCTAATCTGACCAGAATGTAGCTGTCCAATTACTTTCCCCTCTACAAAATGAGATGAACTGTGAAGAAGGTGGAGCCAAGTGTTAAACACAGAATCACCATCTCACTGTGAACTATGTTAATGGTGGAGGACATGGTTTCAGAGACCCAAAAGCTACAGATAAACCTCAAAACCCTAATAAACATAATGGTGTCTTCTCAGGCAGTGAGGAACAGTGCTAGAACATGGTGGTGGTGGTCACTGTGTCAATTATGATGCCCAGTTGTTTGGTCAACTATATGTTGGTCTACACGTTGCTGTAAAGGTATGTTTTAAATGTGATTAATAGTTAAACAGACTTTGAGCAAAGGAGATTAATCTCTATAATGTGGGTGAGTTTCATGCAATCAGTTGAAGGCATTAAGAGCAAAGACTAAGGTTTCCCTAAAAAAAGCAATTGTGCCGGCCAGGTGCAGTGGCTCACGCTTGTAATCTCTGCACTTTGGGAGGCTGAGGTGGATGGATTATGAGGTCAGGAGTTCAAGAACAGCCTGGCCAACATGGTGAAACCCCATCTCTACTAAGAATACAAAGATTAGCCAAGTGTGGTGGCTTGCATCTGTAATCCTAGCTATTCAAGAGGCTGAGGCAGGAGAATTACTTGAACCTGGGAGCCAAAGGTTGCAGTGAGCCAAGATCGCACCACTGTATTCCAGCCTGGGCGACAGAGTGACTCCATATCAAAAAAAGAAAGCAATTCTGCCTCAAAACTGCACCCCAGAATCCCTGCCTGTATTTTCAGATGAATGGTCTATCCTGCAAATTTCAAATTCAAGACTACAGTAGATTTTAGACTTGCCACCCCTCAATCACAAGCCATTTCTTAAAATAAATCTCTATTTCTCTCTATACATGATGCCCCTGCACACACACACACACACGCATGCACATGCACCTTATTGGTTCTGTTAGTCTGTAGAGCCCTGACGAACACAATGGTAGTTACTTTTTGCTCACCAGAAGCCCTAAGAGACTGAATGTAGAAATGGACAATGGCCATGCCATATGTAAAATTAGAAATTCAACCCATAACCTGCAGCAACCTGTCCAAGAAACCAAACAACAGATCAGGCTGCTGTAAGTCAGAGTTGCAGGAAACCAGACTGCTTTCTTTTTTTCTTTTTCAGATGGAGTTTCACAACTTTTGCCCAGGCTGGAGTGCAAGGGCATGATTTTGGCTCACCACAACCTCCGCCTCCCAGGTTCAAGTGACTCTCCTACTTCAGACTCCCATGTAGCTGGAATTACAGCCATGCACCACCAGACCCAGCTAATTTTGTATTTTTAGTAGAGATGAGGTTTCACCATGTTGGTCAGACTGGTCTTGAACTCCTGACCTCGGATGATCCGCCTGCCTCGGCCTCCCAAAGTGCTGGGATTACAGGCATAAGCCCCACGCCCAGCCCAGACTGCTTTCGTTAGTGACAGTCCACAAAGCTAAATAATTTGTGTAACAATTGGCCCAGAATGGCTGGGAAATGATTAATAACTGACAGTTTCTCTAATTTTGCCCCTGCTTCCAACTCTTAGGACCAGAGAAACCCAAATATGTACCCTTAGCAAATCACACAAGATGCCCCATCTAGAGGCCAAAGCAACTCCATCTAGGATGCTAATCTGCCCTGTAGGCTTCTGATTATTCACCATCATTCCAGTTTCTCTATTGTATCTTGTTTAAGAGCAGATACTTATTGTAAATCCTGCCCTTACAGTAAGTCACCCTTGATAAACCCCTACATAAATCCTGCCCTTAGGTCAAACAGCTTTGATGTTATACTTCCCTTGTCTTACAAATCCTTTCTCAACCACTCCTCTCCCTATGGTATGTAAGTACCAGGTCTTGCTGGTAATTATGCTGGGATCCACCAACTTGCCTCACCACTGCCCAAGATACAGTCATGGCTTCTGTTCCTAAGTCCCTATGAGATGTTTCTAAGAAGCTGGATGCCTCTTTGGCCTCTCAACTTCCTTAGACTTTGATTAGATAACATAGTTCTGCCCATTGTGAAACATCACCACCTCCAGTCAGCCTTCTTCCGCTTCCCCATGCCAACAGTCTTCAACCAGGGCATACCTGAAGGCTTCCCTCTTTTCCACTATAAAGCTTTTCCACCCATTTGCCCACCTGGACTTTCTGCCAAAACCCAGATGACAGTGGCTAACTCCCTTGCTATAGTAAGCTAAGAGTAGCCTTTGCTTTTCTCATTTGGTGGATCTTCATTGATTTCCACAGCCCTAAGGCCTTGAGATGGCAAGAAATCAGTTACAGAAACCTCAGTGAGATAGGACCTGCCTCAAAATGCTACTGCCTCTAGAGGCAGAATTTCCAGACTCAACAGATGTAACTCAAGAGTGTGGACAATACAGAAGAATGTATATTTTTATGTATTCTCCTAGACAGGACTGTTATTCATCAGGCTGTATGATATCATTTTAACCAAAACAAATAGCAATATCAAGATTTATTATAAGATGGAAAACCTTTAGTATAAAAACAATTTTTAAGATGTAATTATTTGACTTATGGCTTACTGATTATAACTTGCTGACTATACATTCATCTATAAAATAGTCTATCTTATCATTATTTTTTTAGAGACAGGGTCTCATTCTGTCACCCAGGCTTTCCAGTACAGTAGCGTATTCATAGCTCACTATAGTCTTGAACTAGGCTCAAGGAAATCCTACCACCTCAGCTGCCCAAGTAGCTAGGACTACAAGAACGTGCCACCAGGTCCAAAAGATTCTATTTATAGACATATCTTCCTTTATTTTCAATAAATGTACTATTTCAGATAAAAACATTAAAAAGTACTATTTCTCTGTATAAAGGTGGCCTTTAAGCTGCTGTTTATATGACTTATAACTAATCTGCAAACACTAAGATTTGGGAATGACAGTTATTTAATTGAATTTATAAAAATTAACATAAGAGGCCTGGCATGTTGCTTCATGCCTGTGATCCCAGCACTTTGGGAGGCCACGGTGAGCAGATCATGAGGTCAGGAGTTTGAGACCAGCCTGACCAATATGGTGAAACCCCATCGCTACTAAAAATACAAAAAATTAGCCAGGAGTGGTGGCACGCACCAGTATTCCCAGCTACTTGGGAGGCTGACGCGGGGGAATTGCTTGAACACGGGAGGTGGAGGTTGCAGTGAGCCAAGATCATGCCACTGCACTCCAGCCTGGGTGACAGAGCAAGATTCCGTCTCGAAAAAAAATAATAAAAATAAACAAATAAAGTAAAAACAATAAAAAAAAAATAACATACAAGGCTAAGACCTCTAAGAGCAGTAGTTGGGAATTAAAAGGACCCAGGAATATAGGTTAATGTAGGAATAGCACAATGAGCTGCATTTGATAATTAGATTTATTTTTTTAAAAATATTAAGTACAATCTTAAATCAGTAGAATTTCACAGTAAACTTTTCAAGTATTTGATTTTTGGCTTATGGTGATTAAGTGTAAACCATTGTTTTTAATGTTCTTTTCAACAATATGCAAAAAAAATCACAATTTATTTAAGAAAATTCATTTAAATTTAAATTCTTCACAAAACATCAAAAATGAATTACCATTACATTGTAAACATGAATAAAATCAATCTTAGACATGAAAAAAGAGCATGATCCCCCAAAGCAGCACAAATCTCACCTCCTTCAGAGGCAAACATATAGCAAAATTAACAAAAAGATATTAACAGAATTGCCCTGTAATTATGACTTACAGAAAACTTTTTACCAGAGAGGATCCCTAAGAGGATTACAGTTATGAAAGATAATGAGGTGCCTTAAAATTTTCACTTGAAAATTTTGCAAAGGCTCATTATTGGTCCATTTAATTACTCAAGGAAGATTTGATCTTCGCAGGAAGTAGCTTCTAACAGCAGCTGTGGAATATTAGTTGTGACTTCCACTTGGAGGGTGCTGTAATAATAGTGCACAAGAAAAATGTTATTAAACATATAGGCCAAAGCTTTACCTCCTCAAGAAGTCTTTTTTCTGACCTCTACAATCCTTTATTTTTTTTTTTTTGAGATGGAGTTTCGCTCTTGCTGCCCAGGCAGGAGTGCAATAGCACAATCTCGACTCATGGCAACATCTGCATCCCGGGTTCAAGTGATTCTCCTGCCTCAGCCTCCTAAGTAGTTGGAATCATAGTCATGCACCACCACGCCCAGCTAATTTTGTATTTTTAGTAGAGACAGCACTTCTCCTTGTTGGTTAGGCTGGTCTTGAACTCCCAACCTCAGGTGATCCACCCGCCTCCACCTCCCAAAGTGCTGGTATTACAGGTGTGAGCTACTGCGCCCAGCCTATTACCATGCTTAAATATGCACTTTGACTGAGCTCCCTGTACATTTATACACCTGGTCTTTTATAGGAACACAAAAGCTTTAGCATTCACAGTGAGACCACTCTTTGTAAATATAGTTACACCCATGCCCAAGATTAAGTAGACACACATATACACACACACAATAATAAGACTTACTGCTGCCTTCAAAGCTTGATCTAGATCTTCCAGTAGGTCTTTCTCATCCTCTAAGCCCACAGAGAGTCGAATCAATGTGTCACTAATTCCAAGGACATCTCTGTCTTTCTTAGGAACTGATGAGTGAGTCATGATTGCCCTAAAGAAGACATGAGCAAAGTTTTCATCACTATATTGTGTCAGCGGAAGCATGTTTCTGTCTCTTAAATTGAAATTGCCCTCAAATTTTTTAAGCTCCAAATATCAAATTTTGCATGCCCTTATAATTAACAGCCAAAAACTGAGAAAATTATGAAACTTACCTCTTCTGGCCATGATTTTAAGTGAAAAGCAAGATTTTTTTTAATCCTGTTTATATCATCAGTAAGATATACACTCAATCCAAATAATGAAAGTTGTGTGTCAAGCACCCCAGTAGGGTAAGGCATAGCCTCCCCAGTGTGTAGATTTCAAAACCTGCCTAAATGAGGCTTTGGCCAGAAATCATGTACCCCATGACCAACCTGTTGGACTGCTACTTGGACCAAGAGCCTGTCATAATTAGTTTCCTCTGGATCAACCCAGAACTGGGCTTTCTTCCTTCACATCGGAGAAAGACCACCAAGAATCACTAGTAGCAACCACTAAACATTCAGAATTCCACAATATGACTCCTGGCATAGAGTCCTTGAAGGATCTTTCAAACCATCTGGCAGCTTATTACCATGATCAACAGATGTAAAGGAAAAGCACCCATAATATGTCAAGCACTGCAGTAAAAAATTGGGAAACGAAGAATAAGATATTTTCTTTACCTTAAATAACAAAGCAGGAGCTAAAAACTATGACAATTGGCAAAACAAAATAGTCTATATAAACAATGCCAAACAAATATAGACAAAAAGACTGCCAAAGTTTAAGGGAAGGAGAAATTTCTGTGAGGAAAAATGGAGAAGAGGCTCAGCGTCTTAGCCCCAGTATGTGTATGACAACCAACCACTCTTCCTTTCCCTGCCCACCACCAGCAAAATCAATACCTAAGCTGCTTTTTCCTCCTACGTGAGGCCCATGGGGAAAAAAATCTCAGTTGTGGTCTGAGTGATGGATATCTTCCTTTATCACACTACTAAAGATTTTACACACAAACATACATCTTAAAATGTTCTGCCCTGGGAGACTCATAATTTCTTAAAAGAGTGTGCACATGTAGAAATAAGAACTCAGGTCTCAGAGACCAACAAATTTGTGTATGAATCTTAGCCCCTCCCATATTGGCTATGTGGCCTTAGAGAAGTTACTCATCCTCAGTGCCTATTTTCTTATCTGAAATAATAATAGATGTACCTACTATGTCTTTACCATGAGGCAGGTACTCTACTAGGTGGTTTATGTGCATGAATTCATTTTTTTAATGAATAAAAATTGGATATAACACCTGTCTTAAAAGTTTGTCACAGGCATTAATTTCAGGAACATGTATAAAACACTTCTAAGCACCTGGAATGTAGCAGATACCTAATAAAAGGTAATAATTCATAGTAGGTGCTAACATTTATTGGGTTCATACTTAGTATGAACCAAGGCATCGGCTTAGGGAGTTTTTTCCCATGTTCTCCCAACAAACCTAAGAGCTATGTACAGTGTTGTCTGCATTTTACAATCAAGGAAATTGAGATTTAGAGAGGATGAGTAACTTTTCTAAGATCACAGAGTTATATGTGTTGTGAGGCTGGAAGACTAAGCTAATACACATTGGCTTCACTTCCTCCCTCCCTTATTGCAATGCTGCACTATTAGCAGCAGAGTTGGGAGACACAGAATGCAGGGTGATAGAAAAGACAAGCCCCGACCTAAATCCACTCATTCTCTGAAATTGGGGTTATATCCTAAACCCAAGTATCTAGGGGCCAAGCAGCTTTCAACAAAAATCCCTAAATAAATCAGAAGAGATTTATTTTAAGACAATTTTTTTAAACATGAGAGTCTTAAGGTAATCCATTTCATTACTATAAAAACAAACCCATTTCACATGCTGAGTGTGCCCTCTTGTGCATCCAAACTTACTAGCAGGCATCTTCCAGAAAGACTAACAAACAGCTGTGTTACACAAATTATTTAAAATCATTATTTGGTTATATCTTTTTTAACTTTGTGAGACTTCCTGACTTTCTAACTGTAAACTCCTATATAAAGACAGAAAATAGGACTAAACTTTGGTGGGCCCTGATATTTCTGCACACAATACTTACATAACCAGTTATTCCATAAATGTTTATGAAAATGAAGCACAGAAACACACCGTATATATTTAGTACAGTTAAAAATTGGTTATGATCTTGACTTACCCCTGCGATAATTACAACATATGGTCATAGTAGCGTACAACAAAGGCTATATATATATCAGGAATGCTTGGTGGGACAGATAATCAATAAATAGTAATCATTAATCTTTCATTGTTGTTTTGTTTTGTTTTGTTTTGAAACAAGAGTCTTGCTGCGTTACCCAGGCTGGAGTGCAGTGGCGCAATCTCAGCTCACTGCAATCTTAATCTCTTGGGTTCAAGCAATTCTCATGCCTCAGCCACCCAAGTAGCTGGGATTATAGGTGTACACCACCACACCCAGCTAATTTTGTGTGTGTGTCTGTGTATGTGTGTGTGTGTTTTAGTAGAGACAGAGTTTCACCATGTTGGCCAGGCCATGTCTTGAACTCCTGACTTCAAGTGATCCACCCACCTCAGCCTCCCAAAAGGTACAGGAATTGCAGGCATGAGCCACTGCACCAGGCTGATAATCACTAATTATTAATCCCATTGTATGTGTTAAAAAATGGAAATTTAAAGGTTAACTAGCCGGGTGCGGTGGCTCACACCTGCAATCCCAGTGCTTTGGGAGGCCAAGGTGGGCAGTTCACAAGATCAGGAGTTTGAGAGACCAGTCTGGCCAACATGGTGAAACCCCTCTCTACTAAAAATACAAAAAATTAACAGCGTGTGGTGACAGGCACCTGTAATCTCAGCTACCCAGGAAGCTAAGGCAGGAGAATGGCTTGAACCTGGGAGGTGAAGGCTGCATTAAGCCGAGATTGCACTATTACACTCCAGCATGAGCCCCAAGAACAAGACTCCTTAAAAAATAAAAAAGGTTAACTAATTGGTGAAAGCAGATCTGAAATCCAGATCCAGGCTCTTTTTACCTCCCCTCACTGTCTCTGTTGCAAAGCCAAGACTGAAGTTGCTAACATGTTCCTGTGTGACATGAGTCAATCAGCTCAACTCTTTGGATCTTTGTTTTCTTGCCTGTAAAATAAGGTGTTGGACTGTATGATCTTAGGCTGCTTGTTTTTCCAATATCCTCTGATGCTTTGATAAAATTAGATGAATTGACTGGGTTAGTTGGTGAAGGGCCTGGTACCCAGATAGGGTTCAGATTTGTCTTGTAAACAACATAGAGATATTAAAGGTTTATCCCATAGAGAACAGAAAACAAACAGATTTGACAATATCTAGTAGGGCTCTTTTCTAATAATCAAGGGCATGGTTTCATCAGAGACACATTTTCTGTTTCCTAAAGAGCCTTGAAAACAGAATGCTTGGTGGGACAGGTAATCAATGAATGATAATCATTAATCATCTTCTAGTACAAAGCCTCCAGTCCCCTCTAAGGCTGAGTAGGGTAGAACAGTGGCCCTAGGTTAGAGGTCAGAAGTCAGAGATCCCAGAATACAACTACAACTGGACTCTCTTTTTGACAGAGCAGGGAAGGAAGCAACATTTGGGAGGACACCGCTCACGTAACAAGTAGCCGGCCATGAGATTTTACCGGGGTCTCCATCTTGACAGGGTTAGAGTCCATTCTGATTAATGCCATGCTATTCTTATTGTTAAATATCTTTAATTATCCCTGACCTTATCATATTTATTTTTCAATCATTAAAGCTGACATCAAGTTTAAAATACACAGAAAAACAAAACTGTACTTACGGAAGCTCAGCAAGACTTTCGTATCCTCCCAAGCTCTCAGCCAGAGTAAATAGCTACAGCAAAGAAAACATGAATTTAGATCTTCTAGTAAAATAAAAATACTAAAATCCAAAAAAACAGTAAATGTTTTTAGGCCAGGCACAGTGGCTCATGCCTGTAATCCCAGCACTTTGGGAGGCCAAGGCAGGTGGATCACCTGAGGTCAGGAGTTGGAGACTAGCCTGGCTGACATGGTGAAACCCCATCTCTTTTAGTAATTTTGTACTAAAAGTATAAAAATTAGCCGGGCATGGTGGCACATACCTGTATGTAATCCCGGGTACTTGGGAGGCTGAGGCAGGAGAATCACTTGAACCCAGGAAGTGGAGGTTGCAGTGAGCCAAGATCTTGCCACTCAACTCCAGCCTGGCGAACAAAGTAAAACTCTGCCTCAAAAAAAAAAAAAAAAAAAAAGAGAAACGAAAGTGGCCAGAAGCGGTGGCTCACGCCTATAATCCCAGCACTTTGGGAGGCTGATGCAGGTGGATCATGAGGTCAGGAGATCCAGACCAGCCTTGCCAACATGGTAAAACCCTGTGTCTACTAAAATTACAAAAATCAGCCAGGTGTGATGGCAAGTGCCTCTAATCCCAGCTACTCGGGAAGCTGAGGCAGGAGAATTGCTTGAACCTGGGAGGTTGCAGTGAGCCAAGATCATGCCACTGTACTCCAGCCTGGCAACAGAGTAAGATTCCGTCTAAAAAAAAGAAAAATTATTGCATTTGAGACTTTGCTCTGTGGTTACCACTTAAATTTAAAAGTCTCTAAATGCTTACCAAGTTATACCAAGTTATACATACTTCCTTACTAATATGTATCACTTATGAAATACATCCTTTAACTCCCTACTGGAGTAGGAGGGGAAAAAAAAGCACTGTTTTTATGTGGACTGTCATAGTGTCATAAAACTTTGAGAATGTTTTAAAAGTTACCTCCATAACTATGTTAAATTAGGGTGACACCAGGAACACTTAGACTAATCTGGCAGCTTTCTATTAATCTATTCTGAGCTGAAGGTAAGCCGAGTGTATGCAATCGGATAGGACTCTTGCTCAAGGCCCCTGAGAACCTCCTCCTGCCTTTTTAAAAATTAGACGAAGGCCTCACCCCAGGCAGATGCATCCTAGGAGGCACAGGGTTTGGAAAGCCATTCATAGGATGGATTTCAGAACAGGTCTTGTACTGCACTAACCGCACACTACTTCAAGGTTTTACCTATTTCATCTGAAAAAGGGTTTCACTTTTAAATAAATGCATTGGAATACTCTGTGTCTCTCAAATTGACTGTAGTATGTGGAGAATTAAGCAAATGAACATATTTTGATGTCTGCTACTGTACCATTGTTGTTTAAGTCCTTTTCAACCAATGCATTACATAAAAAAGAGGTTTATGAATATAACCTGCAGATACAAAAACATTATCAGGGTTGGGTAGAAGTGAGAGATGGTGAACTACTGTAAGGAGGCCTTACCTCTTAAAATTTTAAAACTCTTTTGTAAGTTACCTTTAGGTTCTTGAGGAAAATCTCAGCATGCTGAAGAGTGCCCTTAATGTAAAAGGTGACCATCCCTGTACAGCCTGTGCACTGACGCTTCGCCAACTCATGCTGTGGATGAGAAGGCAGCCCTGTAATCATAAGGTATAATAAGAGTCGTATTTCAGAATCAAACATGTAATTTTGTGGGTGTGGGGGAATTTTTCACTGGCTGCTTAAATAAATTGCAAATAAGCCTGAGATGAGGATTATGCCATGGTCGCATCTACTTGCTCGGGCCCCTTTCTCTCCAGCTTCATGTTGCCTCATCTCTTCTTCCCTCTTCAGCTTTCTTTATGCCAGCACCAGTGGACTCCCTTTTATCTCAGGGCCTTTGCACACGCTGTCCCTCCAACCTGGACATCCCTTGTTAATTATATCCTGTAATTTCTTTTTATTTTATTTTATTTTTATTTTTTTAAAGACAGGGTTTCACCATGTTGGTCAGGCTAGTCTTGAACTCCCGACCTCAGGTGATCTGCATGCCTTGGCCTCCAAAGTGCTTGGATTACAGGCGTGAGCCACCACACCCGGCCTATATCCTGTGATTTCTCACTTACTATCTGTCTTAGCCACCAGAGTTGCTCCATGAGGGAAAATCCATTTCTTTTGTTACTAATTGGATCCCAGTTCCTAGGGCAAAGCCTGGCTCATAGCTGGCAATTAATAAATATTTCCTGAATAAATCTCCAATACCTTGTCTATTCCCTTTTAACCAATTCTGCCCATTCTTCATGGCATAGCTCAAACCCTTCTCTCTCCCTCCATCCAAAATATATACCAATCAATAGCTCTTTACCTAAAGTACATATAGGGCATCTAGTTTTGTATGTATTTATGCTTTGGTTTCCCTAAATTCCTTGTGGACAGAGACCAGTCTTAGTTTTTCTATATATTCTAGACTACCTGGCTAAATCCCTCAATAGGATCTAAAAAGAAAAGAACTACTTATGACCACCACCATGAAAAAGAGAAGCCAGATAATTTCTTGGCCGTACCCTGCCTTCAGACTAACCCAGGATGTGTTCATTTCACAGCTCTTGGAACAACTTAAAAGACTGGTAAAAATAAATTCAGAAAGTTAATATGTAAGCCAGCTAACTCCACAGAAGCATTTCTAGATGCTGGCAGAGGTGAAGAAATTTAAAAACAGAAGAGAACTTCATGGGCTGGGGCACGGTGGCTCACACCTGTAATCCCAGCACTTTGGGAGGCCGAGGCAGGTGATCACCTGAGGTAAGGAGTTCAAGACCAGCCTGACCAACCTGGTGAAACCACATCTCTACTAAAAATACAAAAAAATAGCCAAGCATGGTGGCGGGCACCTTTAATCCCAGCTACTTGGGAGGCTGAGGCAGGAGAATCGCTTGAACCTGGGAGGTGGAGTTTGCAGTGAGCCGAGATAGTGCCATTGCATTCCAGCCTGGGCAAGAGTGAAACACCGTCTCAAAAAAAAAGAGAACCTCGGAAATTTTGGCACCTAATATCAAGTCTCAACTGGGACACACCTTTATCGGATTAAAATGAGAGCTAGTGCTGAATAGCAGAATGACAAGATTATAAGCAAATCAACTGAGAAGTCCAATGTTAAAATCTTTGAATAGATATACACAAGACTTCAAATCGCAGACCACCACAGGAACATCTAATGCATAAAACTAATTTTCTAATATCCAAGCATCCACTAGGCTAGAGGCAATACAAGGGTAGAGACCATGTCTGTCTTCCTTCCACCAGACCCACCTCAGAGCCTGACACATGGTAGTGCTCAGTAATAAATGAACATAAACAGTAAGTGAGAGCACCTAACTAATAAATAAATGTTACATAAACATGATGCTCAGGATAACTGCTAATATCCTAGTATAAGCATATCTGCTTAGAAATCAAATTAACATACCAGGATAAATAACCTTTTCTACCCGAGGATTAGATTCCAGGAACTGGGCAACTGCCATTCCATTTTTGAAATGCTTTTCCATTCGGATATGTAGAGTCTTCAAACCCCGATTGCAGAGGTAACAATCAATAGGAGATGGAACTGCTCCAAGAGCTGTGAAATGAACACATCCTAGGTTAGTCTGAAGGCAGGGTATGGCCAAGAAATTATCTGGCTTCTCTTTTTCATTATAGTGACTCTCAGAAGCTAGGTGTAAAGCTCAATTTAAGTTCTAGGATGAAAATACTATATCAAATCAGAAGCACGAGAACAAAGCATAGAATATGCTTAGAGAAATTTACTTTAAAATGAGGGGAAGCAAATAATATGTTAAAACTAAGTAAAAGCACAATGATATAAACTTCTCAAATAGGAAGATAAATAGTCCTTTCTATGATTTTAATAAAATCAAAAATTGTGCATAGCCTAACCTTGTATTTCTTTGAAAAATTATTTCAACATACAGAGAAAAACAGCAGTTCAAGTCCTATAATTACTGAATATTCTAAAACACTCTATTTAGCCTTTGTGCAAAGCAGCCAATGATTTCACATACCTCCAGGATATATACCTCATTTCTACTTTTTATAAACCAAAGGATACTTATCAAGCAATAAGTTTTGGTTTCTCTCCTGGAGGATATTTTTATTCCTAGTTATGTTTATATCTTACCTGTCAAAATTGCAATGGTTTAATCCTTAACCATACTGGAAATAAACTAAGCAATGTAAAGAGGAAATGATGTTTAGACATTTGTTGAAAAATGTAAGTTTATACTGTAAGTGCTATTTAAAATTAACCATCATTCCTGAGATAAAAGGCATAGTATATGAAAGCCTTCATTTCAAATATAATTTTTAAAAAGAAAAAAAAATCCATTGTCTTGAAACTCTAAATTCACTAAAGCTTTATCAAATTATGATTATAATTAAGATGGACATGAAAACAACAAAACTCATTTCTTATATCATGTCATAAAGCCTTAATATGCTATAACCTTTTTTTTCTTTTTGAGATAGGACCTCACTCTGTTGTCCACTAGATTGCAGTGGCTCAATGTCAGCTCACTGCAACCTCTGCCTCCCAGGCTCAGGGATCATACTGCCTCAGTCTCCTGAGTATCTGGCATGCAACAGTGCACCTGGCTAATTTTTCTATATTTTTGGTAGAGACAAGTTTTTACCATGTTGCTCAGGAGGGTCTCAAACTCCTGAGCTCAAGTGATCCGTCTGCCTCAGCTTCCCAAAGTGCTGGGATTACAGGCATGAGCTACTGTGCCCAGCTGCTATAACTATTTTTATACTACTTTTCTCTAAAATCAGAAAAATTTTTTTAGCAGGGCTCAGTAGCTCACTCCTGTAATCCCAACACTTTGGAAGGCCAAGGCAGGTGGATCACCTGAAGGCAGGAGTTCAAGACCAGCCTGGCCAACCTGGTGAAACCCTGGCTCTACTAAAAATAAAAATAATTAGCTGGGCGTGGTGGTAGACCCCTGTAATCCCAGCTACTCGGGAGGCTAAGGCAAGAGAATTGCTTGAACCCAGGAGGCGAAGGTTGCAGTGAGCCAAGATTGTACCATTGCACTCCAGCCTGGGCAACAGAGTGAAACTCCATCTAAAAAAGATAAATAAATAAATAAATAAACAAATAAATAATAAAATCAGAATTTTTCTCCTCTAGTTTTCATTTCTTCATAAATTATTAGAATGCCATCACTTCACAACACTTAGTGGAAATATAAATATCAAATGTAGTCACTGAGAGCATCATAGGGAATCTGGACTTTTTAATACTTACAATTTTGCAAGAAACGAAGTCTATTATGGAGACTTTCAGAATTAACAGACACCAGGCCCATTACAACATCACTGTGGCCTAAAAACAAAAAACAAAAAAAAAAAACTTCCATTAGAAACAATTACGTTTACTCTTTACTTTATAATTTCTATAATGTGATTTTCACTTGAAAAAACTCTCAGGGAAAAAGCTGTATAAAATAAGGATTTTTCCTTACTTTCTACCTAAGTCACAGAAAAAGACTTACAAAATAATCAAAGAAAAGGGATCAAAAGCCAAGCCCTGCGCTATTTCCACCTATCCGTGAAAACGTCAGTCAGAGTACACTGTGCGCGTCTTACCATTCATGTATTTTGTTGCAGAACACATACAAATATCAGCTCCCAGAGCCAAAGGCCGCTGAAAGAAACAAGTTTTTTTACTTTAAATGAGAAACTATTTGAAAATATGCTTCATTACCTGCCTACTTGCAATTGTAAATTCCATTCTTATCCTAATCAATACTAACTTTGCAAAAATATGTGCATCTTAAAATTTTTTAATCTCTGATATTATCCCTCCTTTGCCTCCCTCCCTCCAAAGAAAAATGTAAAGTATTGAATCCAGTATTTAATCTGAAGGCACAAGTTTCTTGAAATAGCAGATAAGCGCAGGTCAACTTGTCTCTTAAACCTGTTTATTTATAGCAGTTGCTGGCAGGCCTCTAAATTTATTACCTACAGTAGAGACATTGGTATTTTATGACTCATAAAACATATTAAATAGTTAACATGAACAGTCAGCAATTTTTATGTAGAGTAAGTATAAACTTATCTGCTTAGATCTTTAATCATTAAAACCTCATGATGTATGCTGTGATTATTCACATTTGGTTTGCCATGATCTTGATTCCCAATTACTCTACCCTTCCTATGTGTGGATTTCACATCCATGGATTCAACCAACCATGGATAAAAAATATTTGGAAAAAAAAAAAAGAATGGTTATGTCTATATTGAACATGTACAGATTTTTTCTTGTCATTAGTCCCTAAACAATATAGTATAACAACCATTTATAAGGCATTTACATTGTATTCGATATTATAAGAAATCTAGATGGTTGGGAGTTGGGGGATGGCTCACACCTGCAGCAATTTAGGGGGCTGAGGCAAAAGGATTGCTTGAGACCAGAAGTTTCAGGTTGCAATGGACCATGATCGAGCCCCTGCACTTCAGCCTGAGTGGCAGAACAAGACTTTATCTTAAAAACAACAACAAAGAAAGAAATTTGCTGGGCATGGGGGCTCATACCTGTAATCCCAGAGCACTTTGGGAGGCTGAGGTGGGTGGATCACTTGAGGCCAGGAGTTCAAGCCCAGCCTGACCAACATGGCAAAACCCTGTCCCTACTAAAAATAATAATAAAAAAAGAATTAGCTGAGCATGGTGGCACATCTCCACAATTCCAGCTACTTGGGAGGCTGAGGGATGAGAATTGCTTGAACCAGGGAGGCGGAGGTTGCAGTAAGCCAAGATGGCACCACTGTACTCCAGCTTGGGCGACAGAGCAAGATTCTGTCTCAAATAAAAAAAAAAAAGAGAGAAAAAGGGGAAAAAAAGTCTAAAATTTGGAGAATTAAGAAAAATAAAAGGAATTTTTTAAATTGTTTCCTTCCACCTAATGTTCCTGTAAATTAATCCTTTAAGTCATGGCGTATAATAAGATGTTCAATACATGTATAATTGTGCAAAATCAGGGTAATTAGCATGGCCATCACCTCAAATATTTATCATTTCTTTGTAGTAGAAACATTTAAAAGCCTCTCTTCTATTTTGATACATGTAATATCCTATTGTTAACTATGGTCATCCTTTTGTGCAGCAGAACACCAAAATTTATTCCTCCTTTTAATTGGAAATCTGTCCTCACCTCCACCCTCCCCTCCACAGGCTCTGGTAACCACTGTTCTGTTCACTACTTCAATGAGATTAACATTTTTTAGATTCCACACATGAATGAGATCATGACTTATTTGTCTGTCTGTGCCTGGCTTATTTCACTCAACATAATGTCCTGTAGGTTAATCCTTTAGTCTTAAAATGTTTTGGTTTACAATGAAAGTTGTAGACTTTCCACTTAACAATACATTATCAGGCCAGGCGCAATGGTTCATGTCTGTAATTTCAGTACTTTGGGAGGCCAAGGCAGGTGGATCACTTGAGGTCAGGAGTTCAAGACCAGCCAACATGGTGAAACCCCATCATTACTAAAAATACAAAACTTAGCTGGGCATGGTGCGGGCACCTGTAATCCCAGCCACTCAGGAGGCTGAGACAGGAGAATTGATGAACCCAGGAGGCAGAGGTTGCAGTGAGCCAAGATCACGCCACTGCACTCCAGCCTGGGTAGCAGAGCAAGACTCTGTCTTAAAAAAAAACATTGTCAGCATCTTTCCATTTACATTTTCCTAAACATAGAAGTATGTGTGTATTTTACTAGCATTGTTTAGTCTTTGGAAGATATTAGTATAGGTGGCAATGGGAATATTTTATTTAGGGTATTTCAAAAATAGGATGCTTTAGGTAAAGTATTGCCCAAAGCACTCTCTGCATATGTGTTTGCACATCTCTAAAGGGATGGAGTCAAAAGTAGATGAGGTCTAAGGTCTTCTCTAGTGCTAACATTCTGTAAACTCTACAGCCAAAAGAGAAGAAAACATAAAAACCAAATCACTAACACCTGTTGATCTCATTATCTGCTGAGAATCATGCTACAGACTTTATGTAACCCAGGGAAGCATTATACAAAATACTTTACCTAACTCAATAAAATCAGTACCTTTAATGGCTCTTATCGTACTCGTGAGCAAAGGGGACTAAGAAAAATGAGATAGATCCTTCAGATTAAAAAGCTGGTAGAGCCAGGACTCATACCCAGACTGCCTGACTCCAGAGGTGCTACTCTGAAGCTTCATGCTGGTAGGTCTATTTTGCCTTTCATGAGACATATAGAAGATCCAGAATACAAAAGACTGGGAAGAAAGAGAATATATTCAGTTTTCATGAAGGTAAGACAATGAGACAATTTTTTTCAGGAAGAGATTTGCTTATGGAAACAACATATGGCTACTAAGGAATGATATGATTCTGAGTAATTCAACTAGAATAATCCAAACTGAAATGAAGCAAATTCCCATCATTGGCATGAGGAAGGTGACAAGGTACAGGCAGGAAGAAGGTAACTCCTAACAAGGAAAGGAAAGGGTTGGGTTACTCGGAGGAAAGAGAGGGAGAACCTGTGGGGAAAAGGCAGGAAACAAGTTAACTATAAAGAGATCCCAAAGTGATCTACTAAAGACAGCAAAACAGAAAACAGGATGAAACTAGAAAAAAGACAGAGAAACAAATAAAGGATGGAGGATGTATGGGAGGGGTAGTCTGGGGAAGAAACAAATGCAGAAGGCCAGGTAGGGAAAGAAACACTTAAAGAGAGCTGCGATGGTCTGAACATTTGTGTCCTCCAAACTTGACAGGTTGGAATCTAATCACTAGTGTGATGTTATTAGGAGGTGGGTCTTTGGGAGGTGATTAGGGTGATTTATGCCTGATACGGTTTGGATCTGTGTCCCCACCAAATCTCATGCTAAATTGTAATCCACAAATGTTGGAGGTGGGGCCTGGAGAGAGGTGACTGGTTTATGGGGGTGGCTATATCATGAATAGTTTAGCACCACTCCCCTTGGGTCTGTCCTCACAACTGTGAGTGGGTTCTTGTGAGATTTAGTTGTTTAAAAGTGTGTAGCACCTTCCTCCTTGTTCTCTCTTGCTCCTACTCTGGCCATGTGATGTGTGTGCTCCCCCTTTGCCTTCCATCATTATTGTAAGTTTTCTGAGGCCTCCCCAGAAGCCAAGCAGATGCCAGCATCATGCTTCCTGTAATTAAACCTCTTTTCCTTTATAAATTACCCAGTCTTTGGGTATTTCTTTAGAGCAATGTGAAAATGGACTAATACAGTACCCTGAAAAAAGAGGCGCCAGAGAACTGCCTTGTCTCTTCTACCATATGAGGACATAGCAAGAAGGCTCCATCTATGGACAGAAAGCAGGCCCTCACCAGTCACAGAATCTGCTGGCACTATGATTGAGGACTTCCCAGCCTTCAGAACTATGAGAAATAAATTGCTGTTTATAAGCCACTGAGTTTATGGTATTCTGTTATGGCAGCCCAAAGAGACTAACACAGGAGTGCTATAAATACTTACAGCTATAAAGTAAAATAAATAAAGTAAAAGTTCAAAATAATGATAAGTTAAAGACATCTAGGCACAGTATATGGAATGCTGAAGTAATAAAAACTAGAAGAAAATAGGAGAAATAATATGTTTTACATATACTGAAATCATTGAGCATCACTTTTCTTTTATAATATATATATTAAAAATATTCAAGGTGACGGAAACATGACTGATTTGTAATCAATGTGTAAACATTCAAGTCCTTACTATGTACAACGTTATTAGCAGATTCAATCACATCATAAGGCCATGTCTTCAGATTTACATATCCTAAGAGAACTGGTAAGCTTTAATAAAACACACAAAGTACCATAGAGGATATTAACATAGGTTTGAAACGATATTATCTCATGGTAGAAAAGGTCCAAATTTAATTCTCTGTCCAGTAAATAATTACTTATAATTAGATTTCACGAGTTTAATTTTCATGAGTTTAATTCATTAGATCATGATTTTAATTTAAGCAAGTCCTTTCTCTCCTAATTACAGACTTATGTGCCCAAAAAAATTATTTTCATTTACCTGGAAATAGGGGGACATAAAAGTGTTATCCACGACCAAAATAATGTCTCCGTGCTTATGGACAATATGTGCACATGCTTCAATGTCAGTCATCTTCAGGATGGGATTTGTGGGAGTTTCAATCCAAACCAGCTAAAGTCATTCAGTAAATAACAAGAGTTTATAAAAATATACTTTACAAACATATATCTCATATATCATTAACAATCTGGGAAGATACGTAATATAATGGAAATGCATGGATGATGATGTTGGGAGATTCAAAAATGAGTAGAAGCCTCACCACAAATTTCTGAAGCCATAGGTATGCAATATATCCTATTGTATAACGGGGTTGGTAATACCTACCTTACAGAATTTTTGCAAAGATCAAGTAAGATAATGTACATATAAATAGAAAAGTACTAAAGTTAATTATTGTGTTTTTCGTTAAAAAGAGTGTATTCCAAAGACACAGCTCAGTGTCTGGAAATTTTGTTCTCAAAGATAAATAACATAGATTGTGCAAGAATACATCCTAGAGTTTTAATGAAAGAGAATTATCCCTATGATGCCAAAAATATATTTAATATGAACTTAAATAATGCCAGGAACCCTAGAAACTGTAGAAGAAGAACCTAAGACTTGAAGAGCATGGGCTTTAGACTAAAGGAGAAAAGTGACACCCACGACAGAAAACCTGGTTGCTGCCTACTTAAAAAAGTAGCAATGCCGGGTGCGGTGGCTCAAGCCTGTAATCCCAGCACTTTGAGAGGCCGAGGCAGGCGGATCATGAGGTCAAGAGATCGAGACCATCCCAGTCAACATGGTAAAACCCCGTCTCTACTAAAAATACAAAAAATTAGCTGGGCGTGGTGGTGCGTGCCTGTAATCCCAGCTACTCAGGAGGCTGAAGCAGGAGAATAGACTGAACCCAGGAGGTGGAGGTTGCGGTGAGCCAAGATTGCGCCATTATACTCCAGCCTGGGTAACAAGAGCGAAACTCCGTCTCAAAAAAAAAAAGTAACAATGACCTTTATATCTCAAAACCTACAACAACTCAGGTACATGGTAGATGCTTGACAGTTACCAAAAAGACCAAAGAAAAGAATTCTATTTATTGAACAAAATGCCATTATATTGAATTACTTTTTTTTTTTAAGTGACAGGGTCTCACTTTGTTGCCTAGGCTGGAGTGCAGTGGCATGACCACAGCTAACTGCAGCTTCGACCTCTCAGGCTCAAGTGATCCTCCTACTACAGCCTCCCCAATAGTTGGGACTACAGGCATGTGCCACCATGCCCAGCCATTTTTTTTTGCAGAGAAAGGGTCTTGCTATATACCTTGAACTCCTGGCTCAAGCAGTACCCCTGCCTCAGTATCCCAAAGTGCTAGGATTACAAGAGTGAGCCACTGTGCCCAGCTGATTCTTTTTTATTACCTATTATTTAAATGTGCAAAGGGTCTGGTTGAATACTCTTCCGACTTTAAAGTTTCACTATGGAAAAGATAAGATGGTTAAAACCATACATATTCTAACAAAAATCTTGAATTATTTAAAGAATCTATAAAAATTATTCCTGCTAAAGATATATTATTCCTACTAATAATTTTAAAAAATAAAAATAACTAACTAAATAAAAGGTAGGTTTTACATGGAGTTAAACATTCTACTTTAAATGAATAACCTGATATTTTAGGAAGAAAAATGCATTAATTCAAGTTGGTAGAGTCACTATATAAAGTTCTGTTGACAAGATTTACTATACTCATAATTTGCTTTCCTCCCTTAGAAAGACTCAGACTAGGGCCAGGCGTGGTGGCTCACACCTATAATCCTAGCACTTTGGGAGGCCAACGCAGGCAGATAACAAGGTTAGGAGTTCAAGACCAGCCTGGCCAACATGGTGAAACCCCGTTTCTACTAAAAATAAAAAAATTAGCTGGGCATGGTGGCAGGCGCCTGAAATCCCAGCTACTTGGGAGGCTGAGGCAGGAGAATCACTTCAACCTGGGAGGCAGAGGTGGCAGTGAGCATCACACCATTGCACTCCAACCTGGGTGACAGGGCAAGACTCCGTCAAAAAAAAAAAAAAAAAAAAGACTCAGACCAGCTATTTTAATGTGTCTTTTCTCCCAAGCAAGATAAAAATACAACTTAATTACCCAAAACTCACCCATGTTAATGTGCAAAGTAATTATTTGTACATGAAAAGACATTCATTTTTTAGTGTTCAGTGCAACATAATCTTGGGTACAATTCTAACATTTTAATCATTAGCAAAAAGTTGTAAACAGCTGACTTATAAAAGACAGTAGTCCTTCTTTTACCCACACAGAATTTAAATGAGGCCCCAAGAAAGAATATCACATATGCTATTCACTCAGGCACAAAACACCTTCCGGAGGCATACAAACTTCCCAGGATGGAAGCTAAAGATTGCTTGTGGCCCATTCTCTACATCTGACTAGTATCTGGGCAGTATCCCTTACAGCCCACCAAAGCCACTGTACTTAGGGTTTGGGGATTTGGCAGGCTTCCTTTTCTATAATCCTATAATCCAATCTCTGTGATGACTTGCTTTATCAATACTGTTTTGGCTATGCCATTAAGAATTATGTGCTCTTGCATAGAAATTTTTGTAACAATTACTATGGATCCAGGAACTACACTAAGCATTTCATATACATTATCTCATTTGATTCTCACACTCCCCTCTCTATAAAACTAGTATAATTATCTCCATTCTTCAAATGAAGAAATTGAGACTTTGGTTACATAATTTGCCCAAGATAATATACCAACTAAGATACAGAATTGAAATTCGAATTCCACTCCAGAAATCATGTACCACCATTATGCTATAATACCCCAGAGATGACAATCTATCTTAATTTTGTTGATGTTTCCAATGGCATATAATAAAATTTGTTATTCACATTAAATTATACCATCTAGTAAACAGAAATGTTGAAAAACAAAACATCAGAGGAAAAACAGGCAAAACTTAAAACTAGTTGAGTTACCTTGGTTTCTGGTGTAATTGCTGCCTCTAGTAATTTGATTTTGGAACAGTCAACAAAAGAAATCTTTAATCCAAATTCAGATGCCACCTGCCTGAAGTACCGGTTTGAACCTGAGGCAGAAGAGAATCAGATAAAATGGAAAGAACATTGCATTAAGAAACGTTCACGTATAAATGTTAACCTTCTACTTATAAACACTTACAAAATACAAGGAACTCTCAGTCACCAAGAAAAATGCAACTAAAAGCAATTCTAGTTTGGTTAAAGAATTTGGCTATCTGATATAGTAAAGAATAATAAGGTTTGGACTTTAAAGGTTGAAGAGTCAAATAAGACACACTTGAGATCTAAAAGTAACATGAAGCAAATAATGTTTCTCAAAACATCCAATCTCCACTAAGTGGCATGCTTCCTGAAACATCTTATCTTTTTTAACAATTTCTACCTAGTTCTCAACTCTAAACTAAATGAACCAATGTCAATGAAATGTTCGAAATAAATTTCAATATACTTTGTAATGAAAAAGAATTGGTTACTATTCTTTGCACTTTTTCGATCTTTATGTTGCATAGTTCTGAAAGTTTTGATCAATAAAACTGAGACAATATACATCAAACTACCAGATTTTTACAGTGCAAGAAGATAAATCATTTGACTTAGAATAATTTTTAATAAACACTCCTAGACTTGATTTTTACACATAAAAACTTAAAGAAAACTTGATAATAACAACAACAAGAAATATTCTGTCATTAACGAGAAACTAGACTTTTGATGGTATGTAGACTGACCCTACATAATATAAAATTGAAAAATAATGTAAAGAGTTCTTAAAAATCAATGATTTTCAGAATTTTATACCTATGTTTTCCATGAGACTTTTATAATGCATCATAAAAGTATCTAAAAGTTTGATATGTCTATAATTTCAACTCAAGAGTTAATATAAGAAACTAAGATAATAAACTGGCTCAAGTCTGGGAATATAAATAAATAAATAGGAAAAAAAATTTTTTAAGAAACTAAAATAAAATACAAAACATTGTGCTAATTTCTGAAGTCTAAAATGATTACTAAGAGTATCTTCCTTTTAAGCAGGGGTCCCCAACCCACAGGTCACAGACAGGTACAGGTTTATGGTCTTTTAGGAACCCAGCTGCACAGCAGGAGGTGAGCAGCAAGTGAGCATTAGGACTCCCTGAGCTCAGCCTCCTGTTAGATCAGCGGTAGCACCAGTCTCACAGGAGGAACTCTACTGAGAACTACTCATGGGAGGGATCTAGGTTGTGCGCACCTTCTGACAATATAACTTTCAAGGGATCTAAGTGGCCTGCTCCTTATGAGAATCCAAATAGCGCCTGATGATCTTAGGTAGAAGAGTTTCATCCTGAAACCATCCCCCCTCCCTTGGAAAAACTGTATTCTACAAAACTGGTCCCTGGTGCCAAAAAGGTTGGGGACAGCTGTTTTTTTGTTTTTTGGTTTTTTTTGAGACGGAATTTCACTGTTGTTAACCAGACTGGAGTGCAATGGCACAATCTCGGCTCACTGCAACCTCCGCCTTCTGGATTCAAGCAATTCTCCTGCCTCAGCCTCCCAAGTAGCTGGGACTACAGGCACGCACCACCATGCCCAGCTAATTTTTGTATTTTTAGTGGAGACAGGGTTTCACCTTGTTGACCAGGATGGTCTCGATCTCTTGACCTCGTGATCCACCCACCTCAGCCTCCCAAAGTGCTAGGATTATAGGCGTGAGCCACCGCGCCCCGCCTCAGGGACAGCTGTTTTAAAGGACTTGGTGATTTAACTTTTTGTTCAGATAGGAAATAGATAAAATGATAATATGCTAGAAATCACATTTTAATTATTTGGAAGCATCTAGAATAGATGTATATGTATATTCACAAAATTCCTCGCTTTTGTTTTAAACACAAAAACCAGTGGGCTTAAAGGCAATGGCAATCCTGTCTTCTCCACATTCACCACTTTAAAGAGCTAACATTTAATCTCTTTAGAATGGAAGTTCTTAAATTTGGATCTCCTTAAATAGATGGGCTTCAGGGGTTCAATCCGTGAGACTCCTAAAATAAAATGCTAATCACTGAGTATAGTCTTAAGAACATTTTTTGGGAAAAGAGGCCCATCTCTCTTAACAAATTTTCAAAAGTTTCCCTGTAACCAAACAAAAAATAAAAAGCAAGAGGGAATGTGCAGGGTGGAGCTCTTGGAGTAACCTAGGTTGTAGTTTACCTTTATTGCAGGTAAAAATTAAGTTACAGGAGAATACTGTCTCTCTAAATCTTATCTTCTCTAGAGCACAATGTGTCTGCAAGTTGATCAGGTCCTATGTATTCATTCTAGCAGCTTAAATACTATTCTTATTAAATAATCTCTGACCAGGTGAGCTGGCTCATGCCTGAGATCCCAAAACTTTGGGAGGCCAGGAAGGGGGTATCACTTAAGCTCAGTAGTTCCAGACCAGCCCGACCAACACAACGAAACCCCGTCGCTACATAAAATATAAAAATTAGCTGGGTGTAGTGGCACACACCTGTGGTCCCAGCTTTTCAGGAGGCTGGGGCACAAGAACCATTTGAACCCAGGAGGCAGAGACTGCAGTGAGCTGAGGTCACACCACTGCACTCCAGGTAACAGAGTGAGATCCTGTCTCAAAATAAACAAATAAATAAATAAATAATCTCTTTTATAAGCAGTTCCAGAACATGGACCCTAAGTGTTTATGCTCCTCTTTTGCCAAGTCTGAGGTGCTTGTCACACCTGTAAAATATAATAAATAACCACAAATACTGGCAATATTGTTAATATAATTCAGAGCTCACTTTATTATCTGTAAAATATAAGTTTACACAATACAAACAAGAGGAGTCACTTACCTCCATACACATCATCCATACAAATAATGTGGTCTCCTGCTTTTAAAAGATGGGTAATAGTTACCGTGGCTGCTAAACCTGAAGCAAAGGCCAAACCTAAAATAAAAATACAGTTAGAGTAAGCTGAAAAGTTAGACCTAAAGGTTAAAAAAGACCTCCAGTATTTACCTGACTTACTTCAATGCAGATAGGACAGCGGTGATGGCTGAGTTGCCAGAGGCCCATGATTAATACCATGACAAAATCTCCCTTTCTATTTAAAGAATAAGATGTCTTTAAAATAAAAAATATATAATGTAGGCAGACACTTTTGTGTTAACATCAGTTTTGCCTTGGTTATAATATTTCTCTGAAACACTTTAAGGAAATAATTCTTTACAAATATCTGAGATAAAAGACGTATTGTCTTTTAACTTACAGTTTAAAAATAGCAAACTAAAGAAATTTCAGACCAGGCATGGTGGTTCATGACTGTAATCCCAGCACTTTGGGAAGTCAAGGCAGGTGGATCACTTGAGGTCAGGGGTTAGAGACCAGCCTGGCCAACATGATGAAACCCCATCTCTACTAAAAATACAAAAAATTAGCTGGGCGTGGTGGCGCGTGCCTGTAATCCCAGCTACTCGGGAGGCTGAGCTAGGAGAATTGCCTGAACCCAGGAGGCGGAGGTTGCGGTGAGCCGAGATCACGCCATTGCACTCCAGCCTGAGTAACAAGAGTGAAACTCCGTCTCAAAAGAAAAAAAAAAAAAAATATATATATATATATAAATTGGCCAGGCATGGTGGCACATGCCTGTAATCCCAGCTACTAGGGAGGCTGAGGTGGGAGAATTGTTTAAACCCAGAAGGCAGAGTTTGCAATAAGCTGAGATTGTGCCACTGCACTCCACTTGGGTGACACAGTGAGAGACACTGTCTCAAAAAAAAAAAAAAAGAAATTTCAAACATAAAGAATAGAGCAAAGATATGAATCATACATTTATTATATGAATATGCAGTTCAGCAAATATTTTAACAAAAGTCACCATTAGACCTGAGATTTGTCTAATAAATGTAAGGATAATGAATACATAAGACTCCCTCCATGAAAAAAAAAGGTTCAGGGAGTTAATCCCTAATCTCTGAGAGTAGAGTAGCATGGGTTAATAAACCTTAGTTTATTAACTGGTTGGGTGCAGTGGCTCACACCTGTAATCCTAGCACTTTGGGAGGCTGGGGCAATTAGATCTCAAGGTGAGGAGTTTGAGACTAGCCTGGCCAATATGGTGAAACCCCATCCCTTCTAAAAATACAAAAATTAGCCGGGGGTGGTCATGCACGCCTGTAATCCCAGCTACTCAGGAGCCTGAGGCAGGAGAATCGCTTGAACCCGGGAGGGAGAGTTTGCAGTGAGCCAAGATCCAGCCATTGCACTCTACCCTGGGTGACACAGCAAGACTCCATCTCAAAAACAAAAACAAAAAAACAAAATGTTAATGCTATTCTTAGGCACAAATTATTAGGTGAATAAACCAGAGTACAAGAAAGTTTAGGCCAAGTGCGGTCACTCACAACTGTGATCCCAGCACTTTGGGATGCTGAAGTGGGCAGATCACTTGAGCCAAGAAGTTAGAAACCAGCCTGGCCAACACGGTGAAACCCCATTTTTACTAAAAATCAGAAAACATGGCCAGGTGCAGTGGCTCACGCCTGTAATCTCAGCACTTTGGGAGGCTGAGATGGGCAGATCACAAGGTCAGGAGTTCAAGACCAGCCTGACCAATATGGCAAAACCCCATCTCTAATAAAAATACAAAAAATTAGCTGGGTGTAGTAGCAGGCACCTGTAATCCCAGCTACTTAGGAGGCTGAGGCAGGAGAATGACTTGAACCCAGGAGCAGGAGGTTGCAGTGAGGCGAGATCATGCCATTGCTCTCCAGCCTGGGTGACAAGAGCAAGACTCTATTTCAAAAAAAAAAAAAAATAGCCAGCTGTAGTGGTGTACGCCTATAATGTCAGCCACTCAGGAGGCTGAGGCACCAAAAATGTTTCAACCCAGGAGAAGGTGGTTGAGGTGAGCAGAGATCACACCACTGCACTCCAGCCTGGGCAACAAAGAGAGAGACCCTATCTCAAAAAAAGAGTTTATATTCTAATAGGTAGTATTATTGAACTTAATTTCCATTTATTTATTTATACTGATAGGATTTATACATAATAAATGTAGTATTCATGTGTATTTTTTCCCTTATTCATTTTTCCCTTATTTATATGTATTTTAACCTGATGATTACACATATGCATATTATACTGAGGGACCTTGGGCAAAGAATTCAAAGTCAGTAGAACAGCAATTTTGAACTAGCGAATCTGTTTCTTTTCAGTTCTACATTCTGTGCTTCTATGGTTTTTCTCTATTAAAAATCGATTTTAGACTGTGAAATAGAAATTACTTACAGTACTTAGCCCCATCCAGTGCTGCCACTGCTCTTTCCAGACAATTCCTAGTGGGATTTCCAGAACGGCTATATTCAAAACCCTGAAGAAAACAAGTTCAAGTTCATCCCAAGAGACTTAAGTTTATTATTAGAGTCCTAACATAGACAACTACAGTTTCACCCTAAGGGACTTAAGTTTATTATCGGAATCCTAACGTAGACAACTACAGTGTCACCCTACCATATCGAGTTTCTATTCTGTAGTCATGATATATCTTGCTATTACACAAAGGAGAACACTGCTGTGGCTATAGTGAAGAGGCTCTGAAGTCAAACAAACTCTGTGAATTCTGTATCTGCCACTTATAAGCTTCATGACACTAAGCAAATTACTTCACATTTCCAAGAGTCAATCTCAACATCTGTAAAATGGGAATAACAGAGACATCTAGTTCATGAAATTGTTATGATGATAAAATGAGATAATGCATGAATTCGCTGCATGTTTCCTAGCACAGGCTAATCACTAAATAAATGGCATTTTTTATTAGTAGTATTTTTATTACATTAGATTCACCTTTCTTCATTAATCTGGAAATATTAGGAAAAGTGACTTGCATGAGACAATAGAGTAAACCTAATTCTAATCTGTATTTCATTTCCCATGAAATAAGTGATTAAGTGATACAAGTTTCTTTCTTTTTTTTTTTTTTTAATGGATAGGGCCTCACTCTGTTGCCCAAGCTAGAGTGCAGTGAATCAATCATAACTCACTGCAGCCTCAAACTCCTGGGCTTAAGCAATCCTCCCATCTCAATCCTCCTGGGTAGCTAGGACTACAGATGCACATCACCATGCCTAACTAATATTCTAATTTTATTTTTTGTAGAGGCAATCTAGCTGTTGCCCAGACTGATCTTGAGCTCCTGGCCTCAAGCAACCCTCCCACACTTTGGCCTCCCAAAGTGCTGAGATTACAGGCGTGAGCCACCTCCTCAGGTTGACTCAAGTTCTATTTAGCATACAACAGGAAGTTGTGATCAGATCCTACAAATGCTCAGCATTCATTCACATCTTGGCCATACAAAGGTGACTCAAAACATAGGGAGCAATTCCTGGAAAACAGCTCCACACAATACTTTTTAAAAATTTGCATTATGCTCCTTTTACACATATGGCACCCTGCTATCTATAATCATCCTGTCACTCTATTAATTCTTACAACTGGCTTTGAGGAAAGTGAAGTCAAATGTAATAGTACCTAGGGAGTGTCAAAGCCAGATTGTAAACCCGGGATTTGAACATTAATTAGAAGTCTTATAATTTTCTCCCTCTGTTTCATATAACACATAACAAAACAAAACACTACCACTCTTTTCACCTTTGTTTCTGATTCAGAAGCTCCCAGTATTAATAATAATAATTTTTAAAAGTTTTGAGTTAGGTGCAGTGGCTCACACCTGCAATCCCAGCACTTTGGGAGGCTGAGACAGGTGGATCACCTGAGGTCAGGAGTTTGAGACCAGCCTGGCCAACAAGGTAAAACTCCATCTCTACTAAAAAAACAAAAATTAGCCAGTGTGGTGGCACGCACCTGTAATCTCAGCTACTAGTGGGGGCTGAGGCAGGAGAATCACTTCAACCGGAAAGACGAGAGTTTGCAGTAAGCAGAGATCATGCCACTGCACTCTAGCCTGGTGACAGAGTGAGACTCTGTCTCAAAAAAAAGGTTTTGTTGAGGCCAGGTGAGGTGGCTCTCCCCTGTAATCCCAACACTTTGGGAGGCCGAGGTGGGTGGATCACCTGAGGTCAGGAGTTTGAGACCAGCCTGGCCAACTTGGTGAAACCCCATCTCTACAGAAAAAATGAAAATTAGCCAGGAGTGGTAGTGTGCACCTGTAATCTCAGCTACTAGTGGGGGCTGAGACAGGAGAATTGCTTGAACCCAAGAGACGGAGAAGGTTGCAGTGAGCCAAGATCACGCCTCTGCACTCCAGCCTGGGAAACAGAGCAAGACTCCATCTCAAAAAAAAATTAAGCAGAGTTTTTATGGATTTAACCATCCCTGCTGGTTTCCTGGAAATATTTAACTATTAATATTACATCTGAATGGTTAACTTTTACACTAAGTTCCAAAGCTTGGGCAGCTACACATTTATTAAGCCCTACACCAGAAACTGCATGTTTGAAAGAGAGGCTGTGTACATATTTTGTTTCCAAAATACAGTAGTTAAGAGCATTTTAAGCCAGTTGTAGAAATGGCCTTTGAACTCCATCTCACAAAACACAGGACTGTCTATAAGGATTTTACTCAACTTATAGAACACACTAAAGTAGTTTTCAAAGCATAATCAAGGCTTTGGAATTTAACTAATTCTTACAAATCTCAGCAACTTTTAAATTCTCCAAATCCTTATAAGATCCATCAAGTATGCCACCAAAAGGGGAAAAAAAGCATGTGATTAACAAGGCTCTTTCACAGGATTTACAGATCATTCATGTATGACACTGGGTCAGTTCCTTTCCTATAAAAAGTAGACCTGGTTGTTCTGAGGATCAAATGGAAATAGTGTAAATGTGAACATCAATAAAAAACAAATTACCATTAATTATTATGTACCATATACCTTTAAATACATCTCAGCAACTTATGTGGTAGGTACTATTATTATCCCCACTTATACAGGATCAGTCAGAGGCTTTGATAGGTTAACTAACTTGCCTAAGGTTCCCCAGCTCAGAAGAAGTGGGGTCAGAACTCAAACTAGCCTCTGACTATATGACTTGTGTTCTTGTTCTTTTTTTTTTTCTTTTTCTTCTTCTTTTTGAGTTAGAGTTTCACTCTTGTTGCCCAGGCTGGAGTACAATGGCAAGATCTCAGCTCACTGCAACCTCCACCTCTTGGGTTCAAGAGATTCTCCTGCCTAAGCTTCCCAAGTAGCTGGGATTACAGCCACCCACCACCTAATTTTTAGGTGGGCATACAAAAAGTGCCCAGCTAATTTTTGTATTTTTAGTAGAGACAGGGTTTCACCATGTTGGCTAGGCTGGTCTCGAACTCCTGACCTTGACCTCAGGTGATCCACCTGTATTGGCCTCCCAAAGTACTGGGATTACAGACGTAAGCTACCACGCCTGGTCATGACTTGTGTTCCTAACCACTAAGCCACACTGCTTAAATGATGCAACAGGCTAAATTGTTATTAGCATTATTAGAGATAGCATAGTGTAGCTGAGTGCCTAGGAGTTGGTTCTTAAAGTAATCTAAAGTTTGTAAAGTTTGAATCCCAGCTCCAATACTTACTACTTTAAGGCTAGATACTTACCTCCCTAAATCTCAGCTATTTTATTGGAAAAAATGAGAATTCAGTTCAGACTAGGGTTTTTGCTAGCATTAGATGAGACAATGCATGCAATACACATGGTATATACTAGTGTGTATTTGGCACATAGTAGGTACTCACTAACTATTGATACAGGTACTGGGAACAATCTTAATTCTAGTCAGATTATCAGACCCTTAGTATTTTTTAAGCTGACTCCGGACTACATTTTTAAAATTTATGCTGCTAAAGATAATTCAAAAAATTTATGACCTTCGGTTTTTAATGGCAAATTTGTCAAAATCATGTGAATTTCAGCCCAAATCTATATGGCAAGGTGGACAAAGAGCTCCTTCCAGTCCTGTTCATCAAAACAAATACGATCACTGGACCATCTGCACAAAGCTGTACTGCAAGAATTACAGTGTCGAAACATCTTTCAGTTGCCTTCCTAATTTATATGTCATCTTATAAATTACTTACATGCCTTCTAAATTTATAAGCCTCTCTTCCCGCCCAACTGTGAACAGCCCCAGACAGACCCAGCTCACCGAGTGCTGGCCAGGCGCCTCTTGCTTGAACGTGGTGGACAGTGAGATGGGGGGCACCACAGCCCTGGAGGTCCATTGCTCTGGTTCCTGGCCCACATGGATGGCCTGCGTGGCGAAATGTTGGAAGTGAGGCAGGAAACCATGTGAGGAGGCGTCTTTTTTCTGCATGCTGAACCGCGAAAGGAGAGAGGAAAAATAAGGAAAATATAACCAGGAAGCCGGGCGTCCGGGGTTGGGAGAGACAGACGGAGCAGGAGAAAAGGAGTAAGAGCGACCGGCGGAGCCGACACCCAGCGTACAAAAGCCGGACACTGAGGGTGTGGGGTGGATTTTATTAGCCGGCCGGCTGGCTCACGATCACCGCGGGGCGGGGCCAGCGTGGCCCAATGAGCGAAGGCCCGACGCGTCCCCCGCTCCTTATTGGCTGGCAGCAGAGGCGTTGCCTGAAACGTCACCGCGACCGCCCCTTCCAGTGCATAAAGTGGAGAGAAGCTGGAGTTCCTGGGTCCACGTGGTGTTGGTCCCTGCGGGCGAGATTCCTGAGTGCCGGTCCGGAGGAGGCTGCCATGCTGGCTACAGGGAGCCACCCGGTCGTCTGTGTGACCTCAGGCTGAAGGTTCGCCCGAGACTTGGCGGAAAGCTGGCATGGTGTTGAAACCGGGTAACCGTAAACAGACCACGTAAATATCCCCCCCTCTTATTGCGGCACTTGCCACTGACCACCACCCTTTGCCCTGAGGGCGGTGCTAAAAGACGTAAGCCTCAACGTGGAGATTGGTTAAGAAAACGGTGGCCCAAGCAGCCTAATTTGCAGCTTGGATTCTCATCCATCACAGTCAGCTTGCGTTTTAGGTACACTGAACTCTGTAATGACCCCGTGCTTACGATGGCTGAAACGGAAATGAAGGTTAAATTGTTCTTAAGACATAACGAAGTTACTGTAGTGAGGACGACCTGCAGAACTCCGACAGCTTCCTAAAAGTTCTTCAATCCCGAGCTTTTTCAAGCATCATTATCTTCTTTTGAAGTACAAGGAGAAACTCTCCCTAATGAGAAAGATAATGTGGCTTTGAAAAATTTACTGGAGCTTCACATCCTTACACAAAGTGCTTTTAGCTGTTACACAACTAACAGCCACATCCATGCAGGAAAAAGGAATGTTTAACACTCACCTGCACCCAGAGCCCTACTCTCAGAAGAACCACTGCTTTAAAACAAACAAAAATCTCCTTGTTCTCCGAACAATACAGACCTGACCTACTTACTCTTCTGACTGTTTTCTAGCACCAGGAAATTTGGGAATATTTCTGTTCTTGCAAAGTATTCACTAAATATCTAAAACCTTATTAACCAAATTAAGAACAAGGAGAATAAGGAATAAACAGCTCTTAAAATTTACAGTTTGAAAGAAAGACAAGGAGAGAAAGAAGGAGGCAATTTGCTTTTCAAATTAGCTTCAGGGACATTTAACCCATTAAGCACTAGAGGAGTGGTACTTAAGGGCCTAAAGCTTTTAAAAGCCTACCAAACTTTTTATGGCTGGGAAAAAAAAAAATGGATAGACTTCAAAACACTAATTATATTAATACATATTTAATTAATATTTTTCTTTTAAAAATATAACATCAACTACAACTCACCTCAATATTTATATATAGCTATATGTGGGTATTTTTGCATAATATGATATGGCATTTAGGGGCCAGAAGGGTCTAAAAAAGTTCCAATTAGTTTTACCTCCTAATTCTGACAAACCCTGAGTTGCATAACTATAGACATTTATTTAGTGTACTGCAATAAAGAATTATTCAGAAGTTAAAATAAGTCATTTTATTTATTGTACTGCAATAAAGAATTATTCACTTCCTAAAGTGCAATATACCAAGTCAGGTGTATTGGCTAACACCTGTAAATTCAGCACTTTGGGAAGCCGAGGTGGGCAGATCACCTGAGGTCAAGAGTTCAAGACCAGCCTGGCCAACATGGTGAAACCCCGTCTCTATGAAAATATAAAAATTAGCCGGGCATGATGGTTGCTGCCTGTAATCCCAGCTATTCTGGAGGCTGAAGTGAAAGAATCACTTGAACCTGGGAGGTGGAGGTTGCAATGAGCCAAGATTGTGCCATTGCACTCCAGCCTGGGCCACAGAGCTAGACTGTCTCAAATAAATTAAAATTAAAAAAAAAAAAAAAAAAGGAAGATAGTGCTAATACAAATGCTATAAATCAGCATTTTTTACTCTCATAAACTGAGAAAACTTTATTGGATAGCAGCTTAAGATGTATCAACGATTTGAAATAGCCCCTTTCTATGACTCCGCAATTCCTTTTGTAGAAAATTTTACTTGCAGGAATTTATCCTTCAGATATATTCTTGCATGTGTACAGAGATGAGCAAAATGCTCTTAAACCTACCTTATTATTTTTAATAGCAAAAGTGTGAAAAACAGCTTAATTATTCATTCTTAAAAGACTGGTTAACTGGGCGGGGAGTGGTGGCTCATGCCTGCAATCCTAGCACTTTGGGAAGCCAAGGTGGGTGGATCGCCTGAAGTCAGGGATTCGAAACCAGCCTCAGCAACACAGTGAAAACCTATCTCTACTAAAATACAAAAAATTAACTGGACGTAGTGGCGCTTGCTGTAGTCCCAGCTACTTAGGAGGCTGAGGCAGGGGGGTGGAGGTTGCAGTGAGCCGAGACTCCATCTCTAAAAAAAAAAAAAAGACGGGTTATACTACTCTGTGATGGCTACAGTATGTCCAAGAAGTAGGAAGAGATTGAGATGTGCTGGTATGTTAGAGTTTCACTCTGTCACCCAGGCTGGAGGGGAGGGATGCCATCTCGGCTCACTGCAACCTCTGCCTCCAGGGTTCAAGCAAGTCACCTGCTTCAGACTCCCACGTAGCTGGGACTACAGACTCGGCCACCATGCCCAGCTACTTGTATTTTTAGTAGAGAAGGGATTTCATCATGTTGGCCAGGCTGATCTTGAACTCCTGACCTCAAGGGATCCTCCCGCCTCAGCCTCCCAAAGTGCTAGTATTATAGTGGCTAGTGGCATGAGCCACGATGCCTGGCCTATTGGTCTCTAATTTCTAAGGCACAAAAGCAAAGCAATGTATACATTATGTTTCCACTTTTTCAAAAGAATATATACTATGTTGCATTTTTTAAGACAAATATTTATTATTTAATATGTACAAAAACCCTTCTGGTTCTTAGCTGGGCATGGTGGCTCACACCTGTAATCCCAGCACTTTGGAAGGTCAAGCCAGGCGGATCATCTGAGTTTGGGAGTTCGAGACTAGCCTGACCAACATGTAATCCCAGCACTTTGGGAGGCTCAGGCCGGTAGATCACGAGGTCAGGAGTTCAAGACCAGCCTGGCCAACATGGTGAAACCCTGTCTCTGCTAAAAAGACAAAAATTACCCAGGCATGGTGGCATTCACCTGCAATCCCAGCTACTTGGGAGGCTGAGGGAGGAGAATTGCTTGAACCCAGGAGGCGGAAGTTCTGGTGAGCCAAGATTGTGCCATTGCACTCTAGCCCAGGCAACAAGAACTCTGTCTCAAAAAAAAAAAAAAAAAAAAAAATCCTTCTGGTCCTAGAGACTATGGATCTAAAGTAGAAAGTTGATTTTCCTTACATTTTATTCTCTTTTGTGTTCAAGTTTTATATCATAAGCGCACGTATTGCCTTTTTTTTTTTTTTTTTTCCGAGGCAGAGTTTCCGCTCGTTACCCAAACTTGAGTGCAATGGCACGATCTCGGCTCACCGCAACCTCTGCCTTCTGGGTTCAAGCAATTCTCCTGCCTCAGCCTCCCAAGTAGCTGAGACTATAGGTGCGCACCCCCATGCCCAGCTAATTTTTGTATTTTTAGTATAGACGGGGTTTTACCTTGTTGACCAGGGTGGTCTCAATCTCTTGACCTCGTGATCCACCCGCCTCGGCCTCCCAAAGTGCTGGGATTATAGGCGTGAGCCACCGTGCCCGGCCTGCCTTTTCAACAATAATAATACTGTTAAAAACTCTAATGTTTTAGAAAAACAACGTTATTTAGAAAAAAAACTTTTTAAATGATTAAATGATAGCCACTTTAAATCCAATAAGTGGTATATAGTTTGGGGTGTGTGCTAATTTTTCATGTAAATTAAGTTGCATACAACAAAATAACATTATCATAACGCTTACTGAAGAATTATTAATCCTTGGGAAAGAGATTCAGCAAGGGCAGATATATTAGAGGAAATGGAAGACTTCTCTTTTTAAAATTTCGTTTGATCCTTTTATAAAACACAGAGTGCATTCTTTTATAATAAGCACTTCTTAAACACTATGAAAATAGCACTGTACTTCCTGTGTATATGCACAAACACCTCTACTGTTCTCATTAAAGGCAGGCTATGAATAAAGATACCGTGACTGAATACCAGAACAGTACAATTGGGACTTGGGAGGGATGTTCACATTATATATATATATATATATATATATATATTTTTTTTTTTTTTTTTTTTTTGAGACGGAGTTTCGCTCTTGTTACCCAGGCTGGAGTGCAATGGCGCGATCTCGGCTCACCGCAACCTCCGCCTCCTGGGTTCAGGCAATTCTCCTGTCTCAGCCTCCTGAGTAGCCGGGATTACAGGCACGCGCCACCATGCCCAGCTAATTTTTTGCATTTTTAGTAGAGATGGGGTTTCACCACGTTGACCAGGATGGTCTCGATCTCTTGACCTCGTGATCCACCCGCCTCGGCCTCCCAAAGGGCTGGGATTACAGGCGTGAGCCACCGCGCCCGGCCCATATATTATTATTATTATCAAGCATAAACATAGGCAGTTATTAGATCTGTTTTGTTTTACCTCAAAGGAAAACAATTTGTTCTTCCTTGGGCTTTTATCAATGAAATAATGAGAATTATGAAGGGAATTTGGGTAGCAGGGGAAGAAAAAGATAAACTTGGTGGACTTGTAGATTATTTCAACAAGCCAAAGCCTGTCAGATAGCACTTTTCTTTTTTTTTTTAAGACAAGGTTTCAGTCTCCCCCAGGTTGGAATGCAGTGGCGCCATCTAGGCTCTCACTGAAACCGCTGCCTCCTGGGTTCAAGTGATCCTCCCACCTCAGCATTCCAAGTAGCTGGGACTATAGGCATGCGCCACCTCACCAGGCTAATTTTTGTAATTTTTTTTGTAGAGACAAGGTTTCACCATGTTGCCCAGGCTGGTCTCGAACTCCTGAGCTCAACCAATCTGCCTGCCTTGCTTGGCCTCCCAAAGTGCTAGGATTACAGGCATGAGCCACCACACCAAGACAGATAGCACTTATGACACCTACCTTCACTTACTGGTAAAAACAATTTTTAAAAATAGTAACAAAAAGATATTATGCTATCACATCAATTCTGTTTTGATATGGCATAATTGAAAATTATATCTCTTGAGAATAAAAAGGTCTAGATATTGTTGATAGACCTATTAACGTTCACATCAAGAGACATTGGAGAGCAAATTTCTGGTGCAATTTCTTTCTTTTAGTGATAGATACAAAGAAGA